TCGCGCATTACCCATAGGTACTGCAGACAAATAGCCAGTGATAGCATAGCATCATCACGCGGTCCATCACCAAAGAAAGGACATTTGCTGAAGACACGGCGATAAAGATGGTGAAGCCCGAATCGATTTGATAAACTGCAACCACTATAGTGTTATCACGGTCGTAGAGGGTTGACATTTCTGATTCGTCCCCAACACGACGCCCCTCCACTCCGTGTTTTTCTCACTCGGAATTTTGACCAGTTTTGGTGCAAAAACAATTCACCTATTTTACAAACCTCTGCCATCAACCAATAATTGCATGCTATCAAATGAATCAAGCCGACGCGCATGGTCACCATGCTTTAGATAAGGTAACGGTATACTGTCTGTATACAAAACACCGAAAGAGGAATTTCCGCGCTTTGCCATTGTGTGTTCAAGACTGGATGGGAATAGTTCACATAGAGCAAGATAAGGAATAGAATCGAAAAGCGCCATCGGCAAATTGAGGAAAATGGAATAGAGGGCGTTTTGTCGTTGCAAGAACGAAACTGGTTTGTATGTCCAGATTGTGAAAAGTTCAGTAGCCTCGGTGGGATTCGAACGCACGCATGGACGCCACCCAGGCTATTGTACAGTGCACGCTCTGCCAGCTGAGCTACAAGGCCACACCGATGTGAAAAGATCAGTGTAATCGGTGTGGCCTCGTAGCTCAACTGGTAGAACGTACGCTGTAAATGAGGGTGGGCGGCGNTACTGAAATTTTTACTATCTCGACAAAATAAACTTCAAATCTGCCAAACAACAATTTGAAGAAAATGGTTTTTATCAGTTAAATAGCAGTAGCACTTAAGAGAGCATCCAACACATCAGAAACCCCCAATGAGTAGCCCACGATCAATCAATCCCAAAATGGTTGGAGTCATAATCCAGATGTGATCAGGACTCGTCAAGTGGATGAGCATATCACACGCTACGGAAGAATTGCCGCCCGAATGACGACAGCAACGTGGTCGCTACACATTAAGCATCATGGGTAATGCCAATCAAAGTGAATACAACAAACTGGAGAGAATCTTTACAATCAAACAGTCGTATGATATGTTTGAACGGAAATACACCTCCCCCCCAAAAAAATTGCAACACAAACGTGCTATCCATCAGTCTGTGGTTTCAGACGGTTATTAATATCTGGAAATAGATCTGCAATACTGATAAAACGACCCGGATATTACGTGAGAGCCAAACAACCTAGCAACCGATGACAAGCGTTACTTGATACAGACCTTCGGTAGAATAGGTGGCAGTTCAGTTAGTGATATTAAGCTACCAGGGAGTGTAAAAAGCGCAGCAATTTCAACCATTGCTGTGAAGTTGGCTTAATTCCAGGTGAAAAGACATCTGTTCACAACCTTTTGACAAACTAATGCTGAAAGATGAAGGTAGAAGATAGTGCAGTGATTGTACCTCGTTCCTCGTGAGAGGTGTAAAGTGAGACAGTTAGTACATCAAGGCTCAATAGTTTATGTATGGACAACCATGATCCACTTTTCAAGACGCCCGTGAGCGCAACCAAAAACCCGCTAAAGCCTGACCATGGGATAGCACAGACGTCGAGCTTCACTTAGACGCTGAAGTTATTTGATAACATGTCTTCCTATCCTGTTTACATTTTGGTCGTCATAACCGCAGCTGACATAGGGGTCCTACCGACGGAATACCTGCAAGAATTGGATGTGTCGTCCCACTGGAGAAGTCGAAACGGAAATAAGGGAATGCACCCGTTTGAGTGTACGCGCACGGATTACTGACCGCAATTCTCGACCTGTTGGGTGTCAAACAATCGTGTGCACAATGCTGTCGATCAGCTATTCCCAGTGGATGAAGTTCGGACGTGCTTTTTCGGACATTTGTCCCGGTGAACCTCCCAGTGTAGCCCGTGTGAATCTCCCCAGTTAGACCATGAGGAGGGGGAGACGTTTGTTGCTCGCGGTTTCGTACGTACGACGGACGATGAAATCAGTCTGTCGATCAGCCTGTGTGGATCATTGGGTTACTAGTGAACTTCAACTTCATGATTGTCTCCTCGGTGTCCAATTTGACAGTGCACCGAGAGTGGCTTGAACCGAGCAACAGATAAACACTGATATTGTTGTGCTCGTGCGGAGAAAACACTCGTAATCGATTACGTAATCTAACATTTTGATCGGAACTGACCAGTTTGGAAGATACAATCGACCACCAACTGACGGTTGCGAGGGACAGATAGATTGTACAACCACTACCAAAGAACATGCATACATCAACATATATCAGAACGGAGTCAACGTTTTCTTTTTTTGCATAAAAAAATCACAACTGTATACCCACCTGACCTACTGCTGGTTCATTCCTCAGAGATATCTATTTCACTCACGGACCATATCCAGGATTAGCAATCAATCCAGACGAATTTCGTGGTCTGCTCAAGCAGTTTATGTAACTGAAAAAACTGAAAAAATATGGGAAAACTAAGTTCCCTATTCAATTTACTCTTATTGGACAATGTCCAAATAAGGTCCCAATGAACCTATCAATTTATTTTTAACAAATTTGTGGGATGTTGGGATTCGAACCCACGCATGGACGCCTACGCTTTCACCATCTCAACATAAAACTTCAGTCTGCCAAGCATTTGAAAAATTAGTGAGAGAAAATCTATTTATGTTCTTTGACTGTTCTGAGACATTTTCAAAAGGGAAATCGGTGTACGTTATTAACATTCAGATAAGCGTACCGTTTGGATTGTAAGTGCGTTTCACAAACAGGAACAGAGGATCCGCCGGATCTGAGAATGAACTACGCGATGGGATGCACACACCAATTTTCATCTCTGATCAATACCAGATGTAAATAGCTGGAGGGGGGACAGCTGTGATCAAATTGCCAGACGGAGGTTGGACGTGGCCAAAGTTATACCGTTCTACTGAATTCACCTGACCGGTTCGACGAAATTCCCAATTTTCAAAAAAACTTCATTCTGCATGATTTGAAGGGAAGTCTTAAAATATGCGAGACCGTAAACAATCTAACGTGTATAAGAAATTTCATCAAACGAACGCAGCTGTTAAGAATATCGGTTTTCTTTAAGGGGATCTTTGGCCGATTTGAGTCAGCGCTTTTACCCCGTCTACTTTCAGTATACATTCGTCCAGTCACAGAGTACGCCATACAGGCACGGAATCCATGGCTACAACGTGATTACAAAATGCTGGAGCATCCACAAAGGATGGCCAGCAAAATCGTTAGCAGATTAAATCGCTATTCATACGCAGAGAGACCGGAGTCCTTGGGGTTATATTCCAATCACTACCGGGGCAACAGAGGAAACATGATTATGGTATACCAAATAATGCAAAATCCAAGTCATCCGTGTCACCCGCTGATAAAATGACCACCCAACGTTCATCTTAGAGAACATGCGTTGAATCTAGTGGTCTCAAAATACCGACTGGAATACGGGCGTCAGTCATTTGTCGTCAGAGTGTGCTCGATCTGGAACTCTCCCTCTCACCCCATGTTGTCTGTGTACCAAGCTCTGAATTTTTTGAAGTGAGATTCGATGATTTGTTTCCAACATAAGTGAAGCTGCTTGCAGCAATGGAGGAATCCCGTATCAGGTAACATAACATAACATAGCACAAGGAAATGTATGTATCACTATCTTTCAGTCACAACACGAATCGATGGGACGAGAAAAGTATGAGCTTGTAAGTTATTCCTATAATAAATCTTTGATCTTAGATCTTTGGATTGCAGTGCACATTTTATGAATGATGACACTATCCATGAAATCAAACGTTTGACTGAAAGTAAATTTACACTCCCCGAAAAATGAAGACAACATCCAAAGTCCATAAATTTGTGACCGTCCCAACGAATCAGAGGAATCTGTCTTGTTAGCTGGCCTGTTGTTGTTGTGGTCGAACTGGCCATCCAGCTACTGGTTTCAGTCAAACGTTGAAGGTTTCACGCACACACGCACGCCTTTTTGTGTCGGTTCTCAGCCTGGAGTCAACAAGCACAACTTATCAATCCAATATTCGTTACCGAAAAAATGCACTAAGCATTTTATATCATTCACCCATGTGACAGCCCAACTGAATCGCACCCTCTTCGTGAATTCTCATCTTGGTAAGAACCCATCGAGATTGACCTACTTTTGAGTGCGCGCGCGCGTGTGTGTGTGCATGCATGGCTCAACCACAACGATCGATACGAATGTCAGGGGATTGTGAAAATGACACATATGGCTTGCCCTCATTTTCCGGATACTCGAAAACCGATTGAGACTATGCCATTTCATGGAAATACTCAACCAGTTCCGTTTGACGTAAACAGTCATAGCGTGATACGATGTATCTGGACAAGGGTTGCACGAAAAATCGGCATAGTTCTCGGATAGCTATTTTCACAACGAAATTAGCCATGCTATAACCAGGAGACCTATTTTTCATTAAGAATGTCTCTTCACCCATCACTGTTCCGTTTCCGTACAATCCACATTTCCAGACCGCACTCATGTGCATGTGAATTCGTGCGGAGGCACACACACACACAACACAGATGTACACCGTGAAGGACTCCTCATGCCCACCCTCGGCCTCCTTTGACTATCGTCAGGTTGGACGACACCGTGTCTATACATGAATAAACAAAATCGGTTTCTGTGCCGGCTGCGTTACTCAACCGACCGAGCAAAGCAAGACAGTAGGAATAGAACGAGAGAGAGAGAGAGAAAGAGAGCGATACCGATGACCGAATGCGACATCAGACCTGATTTGCATTGACAAAGCGTCCTCGCTCCACTCGGTCTGGTTAGTCAGAATGTGTGTGTGTGTGTGTGTGTGTGTGTGTGTCTGTTCGGTGGGTNNNACCGGTACATACACGCTCACATGCGTGTAACGCGCATAACAGTCGTCGGTGTAATGTGGTTTGGAACGGTGATTGGTAGACCCTCCCTAAGTAGGTAGGTAGGTTCACCGGTCAACCTGAATCCCGTCACCGAGTGGACCACTCCTGGGCACGTGTTCTGATTCGACCCGGGGTGGGGAACAGATAATGGCCTAAATAATGTGCATGTCAGGTAGAACGGGATCAACCAGATGTTCTAAGGCGAGAAAAAGTGAAATCGATAGTCGCATAACCGATGACAATGATGATTTCTGAACGCCAGTAGGCACGTGAACGGAGTAGAGCCAGTTTGTCGAAAGAACTGTGAATAGTGGCATGAAATCATGTCCACAGTATTTCTCACCGGTTCAACTAAAGGACCGCTTTAAAACATATCGTGTAACTAATGCTAAAGTAGAGGTTATCTTATTTACTAATATGAACCGTGCAGCTTCAAGTCGAGGTCTCAATTAGTCATGATTCAATGTTCCTCTCTCTCCCACACACACATACACACCAACATTTTTTCTCTCACCAACGTGGGAGCGATTAAACATGTGCCATGTTTCAATTTGGCCAATCGGTGGAGAAGTAACGTGGTCATAAAGAAGGAAGGAGTGAATCAGTAATACTCTAAGCTGTTTCCCATCTCCCTCGGGCAATGTACAGACTCATGGAAAGCCGATGAGTAGGGTCAGTCATGTGAAGTATTTAGGTGTCACACTTGAAAGTAACCTTCGCTGGCCTTTACATACCCAAACTGCTGCTCGCAAGTCGAAAGTTCTCTCTTTTCAGATAAGGAGACTGTGCCACTTCGTTTCTGATTTGTCGGTGATAGACGTTTTCGTTCAACAATGTATTCCCTGTACCTCAATACTGCTCCCCTGTAATTTTCCCTGGTTTGCTGAAGGCTGATTTCAAGTTGATGGAGCCCGGTCTCTCAATGATCAGCCGTGTCTACCAAGTTCCATTCTTTCTTCTGATTCGTAATGGCCATAGTGATGAGTGCTTGAATTTCGCTGACATTATCCTATTTGATTGAACCCATCCTTTACACATTGACCTGTATGCATGCAAATCCCACCCGTCCATCCGTTCTAAGTACAAACTCATGCCGCCTCGCATATCTGCATACAGAAACTCTTTGGTACCTTAACTTGCCCGGATACTGACCGATAGGGGAAGTGTTTATTCTAAGCTTTCTAATGCACTCAGTAATTAACGGGTACGTTTTGTGCGTTTTACGTCCAACTTTTCACCTAGTTTTTTTTACCAGAATTGTAACGGTGGTCTATGTTTTTTGCATGAAAGCTTGTATATAACTTGCGAAAGCTTCAATACAGTACAATACAATACAACACAATACAGTGCACGAGGGGAAAAAAACTGGTTCAGAAGAAAAAAACGACTGATTATCCGACGAATAGAACTGTGACTTATTACGCGCGCGAAAACACCTACACACCAATAGCCGCATTAATCTGTTGCGCAGTGGCTCCACTGAGGATGAAAACTTCAAGTTGTACATACAATTTTAATTAAGGTGTGATTTCTAAAGTGTCATCTATTGTGGAATGGACAGCGATCCGGCAGAATACGAGGCACATACGAACAACAGTGTAGGTGTGCATTTATGAGCATAATTCCCTTGTCTTGCTGTTAATGGGAATGGTCTCGTCTATTCGAAGCCGGACGGTTGATCAGTAAACTTTTATTACCGATCTGGATTTGATCAGTGCTTTTCAACATAATAACATGTATTCCAAGCGGGGAATGTACACTGGAACGAAAGTATCCAAATTAACAACCATTGTGGTCGAGGAAAGCTGTTATTTG